GCGTGAGCCCACTGCGCCCAGCCTCAAAGAAGTTTTTTAGGAGACAGAATGGTGGACTTAATGCCATAATCCTGTGGGGGATTCTGAAAGGCCGGTGGGAATAAGTGAAGTCAACTGGCTAGCAAACCCTCGAAAAGGGCAGATTGGAGGGTAGGGTGGGGGAATCTCATGAGCTCAAGAGTCCCTTGTCAGGGTCTTATCGGTGGTCACCTGTAATAGGGTACTATTAGAAAGGGAGAGTGCTGAACAGGATTATTCTGGGAGCCTTGAACCCACTCCAGGAGCTCAAGTGTAGGACAGCAAGAGGGCAAGGAGACTGGAGAGGAGACGAAGGAACAGCGAGGGAGCAGGAGGAAAATATAGTGTGTTGATGTGGAAACGTGCGGAGGACTTAGGGGGAATGGCAAAGGTGACAGCATGGAATGCTTAATTCTAGAGGTCAAAGGAAGGACCAAATGTCCTGGTATTTAGTAACTGAGGCAGGAGAGAGCTGGAAGGACTTAAAGTTGGAGCCAAGGGAAACCATGGTATTCCTCAGTGATACCCAGGTCCAGGGAGTGGCCTTCGGGGAAAGGTTAACTGGAGGAGAGGGGAAGTAAGGCCCAGAAACACAAGGAACAGGAATTTCAGAGTGGGGCACCAGGTGGCTCATCTACGCAAACGTTGAACTTCCTGGGGCAATGGCAGACACTAGTGTAGAAGAGAGGCCCTCCAAGTTAGGAGAGCGGACAGTGGCTGTAGGTGACAGGGGGAAGAGGGGCCCCACCACTGCCAGTCTTGCGACTGGAAACCTTCAGAAAGCAGCAGGATGGGACCTGCTGCTCTCTCCTAACTGGCCGGGGAAAACCACGGCGCCAGCTCAGGGTAGCACAGACACAAATAAGGCTACACCTTGCGTCAGGGCTGTTCCATCTTTTTTTCCCCTTTTAATGCAGATCAAGGCTTCTTTGAATATATTTCAAACACTCGTAAGCCAGTATATGAAACTCCTGCGTTCCTGGGGAGCACAGAGAGATAAATATACACATACAGACAAAAGGAAGTGGAAGTCAGTGTTCCACCAAGTATAGAATTATACAATGAGAAGCTTCCAGAGTATTCCCCAAGGCCATACAGCCCATATGGGAGAGACTAGACAAAGCATGGGAGGAAGGCAAGGGACTGGCGGCACGGGCGGTGGTGTGGTTACTGAGGTAGCCTCAGGACGTCCGCATCACGCGGGTTTCAGGTCGCCACAAAATCGCGTTGCTCAGAACACAGTTGGATTTGGGGACAAGTTAAATCCCCCCACGTATTAAGGCACTCCGTGTGGGTAACTCAAGTTATAACAAGGAGGACGGGCTTTTACGCGAGTCATAACGGGTGTAGCAGGTCGCATGCATTTAGTCGGACAAGCCTGACCCCCAGCCTGCGGGGCCGGCGGCGCGACAGGACGTGCTCTGCGGGCGACTCAAGGCGCGGAAAGCCCGGGTCGCGAGCCGGGCGGCGAACTCGCCCTACCAAGGCGACCCGGCCCCCGGCCGGCGGCCACTCCGCGGCCCAGGACTCCCACAACGCGAACACGCTTAAAGAATTAAAAATTCAGACGATGCCAGCATTTGGATTTTTTAAAGCAGTCATTCTATTTACGGCAAAAACACACACACACACACACACACACAATTAAAATTTCACAAACACGCGGGCGTGGAACCAGTACTCGACCCATACCGACCCCGCTCCAACCGCCTGGGCGCAGGGGCAGCGGGGCGGGCGCGAGGGGAGGGCCGGGGTGGCGCCCGGAAGCGTCGAGACTTCGTAGGGTTCGGCTGCGCAGGCGCACTGAGCCGGCGCGGGGACGCGCGGAGTTGCTGGGGAGGGCGCTG